AAGGGGGTATCATAGCAGAAGGAAGGGAATTGCAGAACGTTACAAAGTCAGTTTTATTTCCTCATACTGTGCTCAGCCAGGCATTGTTAGTAAATAAGATCTAGAGCACTTAAAAGAAGGATCCAATCACAAATTCAGTTGGTCCATTAACTACATGTAATATTATTTACCTAAGTGGTCCTTCTGGACTATTTCATAGCTCAGGTTGATGCCCTTTTTTAAACAGATCAATAGTACTGAGCAGGCAGTGTGTGAGCACCATGAAAGTCAGGCCATTTTCACAGTTATGGGCCGTGATTTCCAGACCTGGAGTCCAGATTAGAATTGCAAAATGAGGAAAATGCTCTCCCTGAAACACTAAAAAGAAGAAAACAGCCTTGGCAAGAAGGATGTGGGAAGCAGTGGAGCAAGATGTGTTGCAAGGGATCAGTTCTTTGATGGGGCTGATAAATGCAGGTGGCTTTTGCAGCACATAAACCCTGCTCAGGTCTGAGAGAAGGGGCAGTGGCATTTCACACACCAAGTTTTGCTGGTTGTCTTGGTTTGGAAAGACAGGATACTGCTAAGGAAGGCAGGAGCCTCCCCTGAAATGGAGAATGTAAACCCTCCCCACCCCTCTGAATTGCTGTAAATTTTAAATTAAGGGGCTCTCAGGCAAAAATATGGGAGCAGGAAATAACAGTTCTTTATTAGGGAAGGAAAAAAATAAAAGGATAAAATAAACAATGCAGTAAATTAGAACAACACTGACAAAGTCAGAACCCAGCCTGACACCCTGTGGGTCAGGGTGTTGGCAGCAGTGCCATTGGAATTGTGGCTCAGCCCTCCTGCAGTGCCAGGGCTGGCTCTGCTGGAGCAGGGATCCTGTAGAGAAGGATGGATTCTGCCTCTGAAGATCCAGGGGAAGGAGAGGCAGCTGCTGTTCCTCTGGGCAATCCAGTGCAGAAGCTGTGCTGGTGTTCCAGAATCTCCAGATTCTATCCAGGTAGGAATGCTTGGCTCCTCCCCCTGGGCTCACATCTCCCAATGGGATGCTGTAGCTCTTATCAGCCATGCAGGGACATTCCATGGCTGTTATCAGCAGGTGTCCCCTCCCCAGGGAGGAGTGATTGTGGTCACTGAGAGAGAGATAAGGCAAACTGCCCACTTGACAAAAGATAATCTGCCATAGAGATGGTAATGGAACACATCTTGCCTTGCAGTCTGGAGCACTGGTGTGAGGGAACACCCAGCTGTGCTCTGAGCAGCCTGCCAGGTGGGGGCTTTGCTGGCTGCTCTCAGGTGTGATGCAGAGTCCCAGCCAGTGGCAAAGGTAACTCTTTGCTGTTGGTCCCGTGTCCAAAATCGGTGTTTGATCAGTTCCTCAGGCTGTCAGATGTCAGCTGGCAGCTAAATTCAATACCCCCAGAGTCTCTGTGCCTCCCTTACAGGAGCAATGGTGCTTTCCCACCTCTGAATCAGCTTCATGATGATGATCAAAGCAAATAAAATCCAGGATGATCCTGTTTTATAATGGTCCTGGTGACACATGGCTGTAAACTGGCTCTGGCTGCCTCCCCTCCAGCTCTACTCATCCCATTTCACCCAGGTCACCCTGATTCCTGAGATAGGGCTGTGTGGGAGTGTGTGGTGTGTGTAAAGTGGGAACTGAGGGATGGCTCAACTCCCAACAAACCCCAAAAGCCTTTTGTAGCAACAGCTCATGGAATTTTTAGTGGCCAAAGGCCAGAAACTTTCCTTCCCCATACCAGGCCAGCTGTTCCTGGGCTGAAACTCTGATTTCTTATGCCAGGCTGAAAAGGCTTGGAGATTTGGACTCACAATTCAGGGAGAAGGCTGTTTGTTTCCCAGGTTGTATAGCACAGTCCCACAACTCATTATGGATGGCTTTTCTAGATTAAAAGGAAAAAAGGATTGTTTTATTGGAGAAAACTAAACAAACCTGACATCCCACACCATTTATTGACCCCATCTGAGAAGTCTTTAGTTTAAAGCCAACACGTGAAGGGCATCTCTGCTGGAGAGAGGTGATAGAGTCCAAACTGAGTGCTAAGTCCTCTGCCTGTATCTTGAGTAGTTTGTTATGTTTCTCTCATCATGGTTCTCCTTTTCTCTCCACCTGTTTGTGGTGCAGGTATCACCAGTGCATTAACCAGTCCCTGTGTATTGTCTGAGGCATCTGCACTCAGGCATAGGCTGGAAGAATTTTCCTTGCCCCAAATAGTGACCCAAGTAGCAGAAAATGCCTCTCTGGGAGGAGAATTCGTGTGGAAAACATGTGTTTGCAGGCTCTCTGCACCCATTCCAAAATTTTAGTGTGACTGGCTTTCTATTTTTGCAACCTTTCAGGAATATCACTGCTGCTTCTCCCTAGGCAGCACCTTTGCATTGCCTTCCATTCTCTTACCTGGATTGCATCAATATTTTTGTAATTTTGGACTGTTAAGGAGGAGACAGGACCACTTTGGGAAACACAAGTGTGTAGGGCCTACCAGAATTGTCTGCTGCACCCTGGGAGCCTGGTGGTGCTGAGAGGGGACAGCTGGAGCAGGGCTCTTGAGCTCATTCATTCCATCCACAGGTGTGGCTGATGCTTTGTTAAATAATTTTGCTTGACAAAGACATTGGGTCTGTAAATTGTGCTGGATCTCTGGCTGAGGGGCAGCTCAACAGATAAAGGTTTTGCTGAAATCTTCCATGAACTCCAGGCAGACATTTTTATTATTTTCTTTTAATCCTGCCTGCTGTTATTTCCAAACCCAGTCAGCAGTATGTGTTTGTCAGGCTATGCAGGTGCTGACATGAGAGGAATTCAGGAAGATCATTAATTTTGTGATTTTTTTCCTTTCCTTTCCTGTTTGGTTTTATTGCAGCTTCCTATATGCTTGAGGTATTAACATTATTAGCTTTCTTTGGGCTGGGGTTCTACTGGGAGATGAGATCTCCCTGAGGCATTGAGATATTTGAAGATTTCTTTCTCCAAAACTGTTGGGAAGGAAGGGGATGCAATGCTGGCATGATGCTTCATAAGGTGACATTTGTTATAACTCATTGCAAATGTTACTCACCATCTACAAAATGTCCAATTAAACTAAAGAGCAGTGAAAAATATCCAATTCCACTTTAGCAGCAGCACTTGTTGCCAGAATCCCTCATGGTTTTTGGAGCCAACAGATTCCCCCAGGAGACCTTTACATGGTGACTACTGTCCTCTGGCACCAGTTCCACTGGTTGGTGTTCCCTGCTCCCATCAGCCAGACTGTCACACAAGGACACCGTTCCCTTCCCATTTGGGTTTCTCCTTGCTTTCCCAAAGATCTCTTTGGTCCTTAGTTATTACCAGACCTGTGCTGCATCCTCCTGTCTCCTGTTTCAGTGGGAATTAGCTGGATCCCAGAGGAATAACTTTTTCAAAAACAAAATTTGAAAATGACCTGTGATCCTTGGTGCTTTCCAAAGTCAGAGTACTTGGTTCTACATGCAGTTTATTGAAGCTTCTGAGTCACTGAGATTCTTCCTTAGTTCTAAAAGCTTTAGTGGCATAATGTTCCTGCAGAAAATCAGCCAATATATTTATGGTTTCTAATCAGATTATGGGTCCTTTTGCCTCCAGTGCCTTTGTGTGTGTCTTGAGGTTGAACCACTGGATTCTGTGGTTCTGCCTGTGCAGAGAGACACATGTGAGCACTGTGCCAGCATCTCTGGGTAAGTAACAAACACAAACTTCTCTGCGCTTGGAGGAGAGCAGGATCCTGAGCGAGCACATTCCCCGAGGTGCCAAAGCAGCTGGTACAGATCCCTGGCTCCCCAGGAAGTTCTCAGATACAGCTTTGCTGTCTGCTACAGCCACCCACTGTTCTGCAGTGTCAGCTGGGCTGGAGCTCAGATCCACCCACTCTGGGAAGGCAGAAATGCTGTGGGGCTCTGCGGCTGCCTGGGGTGGCACCTGCAGAACCCTCTGCACCACCACAGCCTCCTCCTCACCATCCTTCATCAGCACCTCCTTTCCCCCAGGATAGGGCACTACAATGGGCCAAAACTCCAGCTAATTGGCTGCAGGAGGCTGTTGAGCAAGGAGCTGGAATAAGTCACCCAATTAGCTGTAGCTGCTGGTGGCCCCTGGTGCTGGCCTGGTGTCGCTTGTCAAAGCCAAGCAGAGGTAGACAAGCCTGGTTCCTTTTTTCCTTACCTGTGAATACCCAGGCTGTGTCTCCTGTGACTCCAGTCACCTGCTGGGATCTTTGAGGCGTGGGAAGGAACCTCAATTCATTCAGTTTGCTGCACTTTTTCCAAGGCAGGATTTACTTCTCGTTTTCCTAGACCACAAAACAACATTGCTGCCTTTGGAGAGCAAGGGTGGGAGCTTTCTACATCAGCCTGTCTTTAGGTCCTATTTATAAATGAGGAGAGTGAGAAAAAATGTTTAAAAACATGCAAGCTTTAAAAATAAAACCATGACCTAGTCAAAGAGTAAACACTAAAGAAAAATAAAAGGCTGTTTTAAGAGACGGAAGCAGAGAAGCAGCAGCAAAAATGTTCAAAATGAATCTATTACTGTAAAGAGGAGGCTGTAAATCAGCAGCTCCCATCACTGACAGTTCAGAGATGTTGAGGACCTGGCTTAGCAGTGGAAAGGGAGGAAATAAAAGGAACTTTGAGTGGGAAATAAAACAAAGATAAGAAATCCACTATTTGCATGTGATAGATTACCCATAAACATCAAGAGGTGCTTCTGACCAGAAAAAAAGACATCAACGGCATAGTATTTAAACAAGATGAAAAATTATACTGAGTTTCTGTCATTGTGAGTGATGGTGCCACCTTTCTGCTTTCAGGTAGCCCTTTGAGGTGGGGTTGCTCAGGGGGTGTCATGAATACACCTTAAAAAGGGATGGGGAGCTTTTCCCGTGATAGCCCTTTGGAAGTTGGTCCCCTGTGGGGCTGTGCTGTCACTGATGAGTGGTTCTTCTCCCTCTCAGGTTGCCTGGTCACTATGAACCATGGCCCAGCTATACTACAAAAAGGTCAACTTCTCCCCGTACCGAGACCGGATCCCACTGCAGATCGTGCGGGCGGAGGCAGAGCTCTCGTCGGAAGAGAAAGCCTACCTCAGTGCTGTGGAGAAGGGGGACTATGCCAGCGTGAAACATGCCCTGCAGGAGGCAGAGATCTACTACAACATCAACATCAACTGCATGGATCCTCTGGGGCGCAGTGCCCTCCTCATAGCCATAGAGAATGAGAACCTGGAGATCATGGAGCTGCTGCTGAGCCACAGCGTCTACGTGGGGGACGCGCTGCTCTACGCCATACGGAAGGAGGTAGTGGGAGCTGTGGAGCTGCTGCTCAATTACAGGAAGCCCAGTGGTGAAAAACAGGTGGGTTGAGTGTTCCCCTTCAGTTTTGAGCCATTATCCTGCCTCGGGAAAGTGCTGCCGCTCAAAGTCCTTGGTGTTGGTCCATGGCTTTAAATACCCAGGGTAGACCTGGGTATTGTAAACGAGGGATGCCCTGACAAAGGCAGGAATGATGCATCTGACTCCATGTTCTCAGAAGGCTAATTTATTACTTTATTATGCTATATTATATTAAATAATACTATACTATACTAAAGAATACAGAAAGGATACTTGCTGAATGCTAAAAAGATAATAATGAAAACTCGTGACTGTTTCCAGAGCCCCGACACAGCTTGGCCCTGATTGGCCAAAGAGTGAAAACAACTCCCAGCAGATGCAATGAAACAATCACCTGTGGGTAAACAATCTCCAAACACATTCCACATGAGCAGAACACAGGAGAAGCAAATGAGATAAGAATTGTTTTCCTTTTCTCTGAGACCTCACTCGTGGCCTTTCAGCCTTTTGGGAGAAAAACCCTGGGCAAAGGAATTTTTTCAGAGAATGTGAATGCCACACCTGGGCAGTCCTGTTTGGATGCTAATCTCCAGCCTGAGCAAACATGTTCTGCCTGGTTTAAACACCCAGTTTTTTCTCTCTCAGTGTTCTTTCCAGCCCCACAGTGTTTGTGGACACACTGATTTATAGGTTGATTTATAGATGAGCACTTTCTAAAGGAATTTGTGGCTCTCTGAAATTATATTACAATCTGTAAATATGAACTATTGCCACGCTGTTGTGCTGATATTAAGTGGAATTGCTTTTCATAAGTAAATCCTGAAAGCACACAAGCTTATTTACAGCTGCAAGCAAGCAAACAGTCTGCTGGGTTTCAGTCCTTTGCTGTAGTGCAGACAGATCATCTTGGTCTCCCTCTCCAGAGAGCTCCAGGGCAGAAATGCTGAGGCAGGACATAACTTACAGCAGTGACTTGTAGGAACGATCCTGAGTTGCAAAGCCACCTCTGAGTTACATAAGGATCTTATGGAAAAAACAAGATCTTATGGAAAAAACCAAATTTTAATCCTGTCACTTCAAGTGTCACATATTGTCACCAACTGGGTTTTTTTTTTCCTGATTTTCTTCTTTTCATTTGTAAGCACTATTGCCATTAACTAGAATAATTAATGTACATTGCTGACCACTGATAATTTTTTCATATTCACTGCTTAGAAAGGAACATCCAAAACTTGGATAATCCTTATATATCAAGCCTCCTTTTGAAGGGAACACATCCCTCTGTGTGTGTGAAAGATTAATACCAATCAATCATGGAAGAAAATGTTTTCAGTGCATAGGCCCCTTGGCACACAGTTTTTCAATAGTAATTTCATGTAGCCGAGCAAACAATAAGGATCAACCCTGACAGAATTCAAGAGTGCTCAGCTTTATTATTTAGAAATAACAGCATTGTGCATGCTTGTAGCAATGTGATTCTAATGTGTGGTTTAAAAACCAGAGAGATAACAAAACTCCTCTATCTGACCTAAAAATGGAACTGTTAGTACTGAGTTTTAGTCTGACAAAATGCAAGTAGCAAAATACAGACCATCCATTAAGAATGAGCCATTTTTTCCTTGGTCTTCTAGAAATTTGAGCATCCTGCAGCTCAACAGGACAGAAAGCAGAACAGAAAAGTTTTTTTCAGCAGCGTGAGGAGTTGCCACTGATTATAGCAGGCTAATGACAAGTTTCTCCTGAAATGTCATGGAAAGCAAGTGATGATGGAATTCATGTGGATTTCTGTAACATCCCTTGAATACCAAAACTTGTGTCCACTCAAATCCCCAGCCCTGCTGGCTTAACTGGACAGAGACAGAGGTCTGTGAAATGAGGTTGATATATTACAGCTGAAATTCAGCTCCAGAGTCTCCAGTTCAGTGATGCATTTCATAGTAGGCCTGTTCCATTTTTGTTATCTGTGTGCCAGCTCTCCTTCTGTAGCAAGAATTGTATCTGCTGCAGGGTTTACAACTTGGAGGAGAGCATGTGTGGGGGAGAGAAGATGCGGTGCCAGTTTCAGCTTTATTTACAAGGTTTGTTACAAGAGCAGATTTCATCACTGTATTTTAAACTAGCACTGGCTTGGTGCAAGATTCTATGAACAAACTCAGATTAACTTCCCTGGCTGGGGTTCAGGCTCTTCTGGGACTGCAGGAAGAGTTTGCTGGTAGAGAGCTGCAGGACTGGACTTCCCTTGCAGCTCTTTCACTGACCGCTCATGCAGTGATGGGGATGAACATTTATTTCATGTGTGGTGATAGGACAAGCTGGGCCAAAGTTGGTTATTTTGTCAAGGGCCAAAGTTGGTTATTTTGTCAAAGGCCAAAGTTGGTTATTTTGTCAAGGGCCAAAGTTGGTTATTTTGTCAAAGGCCAAAGTTGGTTATTTTGTCAAATCCCAAAGCTGTTACAGGAGGGGTTTCTGAGCACGAGCTCCTGATGCTAATTCCACGGCAGTATCAATATACATTCATTAATTGTCCTTGCTGGACCCTTTCTCAGAGGGTCCTTTGGGAACCCCACACCTAATTGCTTTCACAAAAAGCACCTGATAAAGCAGATTAGCACAGCTTTGTCCTCATCAGCTACTTAGATGTTCTAAAACATGTAGAAACGCTGCTTTTTTGTTCCAGTAGTAACAAAAAAATCACACCTCATAGGAATGTTTCTGTCTGGCTGTGAAATTTGTAAGATGCTATCACTGCACTTCTTACATATTAGGTTCAGTATAATCTATTAATTAAATGTACAGAGGCTTCAGTTTGCCTGCACAAGCCTGTGTGGGGACAGCTTTTTGGCTCGTGTGTGGCAGCCTGTGTGCCACCAGGGTCTGGCTGTCTCTGCTGCGCTCTGGGCAGAGGTGCAGGAGCAGCATCCTCTGCTCTGCATTGAACGTTCCTTCACCTGAGCCTGGGCTCTGGGAGGACCTGCTGGCTCCCTTTTCCTGCTGCCAGCCTCTGAGCAGGTTATTTGCCTCTCTCCCCGAGCCTGGTGCCTCTCTGGGCATGAAGAGCTGTTCCTATTTGCGTCTGTTCACGTCAGCCCTGTTAATTGTTGTCTTTGCATCTCCAAAGCAGCTGAGCAGCATCACCCAGCATAATCCATTTCATGGGTGTGTATCTTCAGCCTTATCACCATGCCACAATCCTGACAGCAGCTCTTACAGCTGCCTCGTTCCAGCCTCTCCTGGAGCTGCAGTGGCTGGATGTGGTTAGGAAGAGAGACCCCCAAAACAAGGTGGGAAAGCTCAGCCAAGGCAGGTTCACCCAGCAGCCACAGAGTCTCCAAGGGGAGAGCTCCAGACCCGGCTCTGAGAGCTGCCCGAGGGAAAGAGCTCTGCTTTTCCACCTATAGGATGACCTTTTCAGGGAGCAGAAGTTGAAAACCTTTCAAACACACGTAGTGACCTTTGCTGTGCTCCTTATGTAAGAGAATCAGGGTCTCGTTGATGCTGTAAGGGCCGGGGGAGGGGGATGGATGAAGGGGTTGGGCGGCTCAGGGGCTGGGATCCTGTCATTAAGTGAATTTTTCTGAGTCATTATTCTGCAAACCTTTGCTAGACTGCTGTTTAAGCGCCATTTACTGCGAATGCGGTGACAATGGCAGGGGTAAGTCACAGGCAGTAACTATAACAACCCGGGGCTCGGCGCAGGAGCAAATTGCTCTGTTTACATGGTGAGAGCCACCTCGCTCCAGAGGATGCTGCAGAGCACAGCAGAGATCAGCACTGATGTGCTCCAGTACATGGGCTTCTTTTTAGGTTTATCTCCAACCGAGGTTTGTGGGCTATTTTAAGATTTTAGCATTTCTCATCAAATCTGCGCTGCCCAGTTCAGACAACAAGGAATGGTGTGGCCAGCAGGAGCAGGGAGAGCTGCCCCTGGCTGTCCCAGGAGCAGGGAGCTCATCCTGCCCCTGTCCCTGTCCCTGTGAGGGCACACCCTGAGTGCTGTGTCCAGCTCTGGCCCCTCAGCTTGGGAAGGACCTTGGGACACTGAGCACATCCAGAGGGGCCAAGGAGGCTGGAGAGGGGCTGGGAACACAAACCCTGAGAGGAGCCACTGAGGGAGCTGGGGGTGCTCAGCCTGGAGCAAAGGAGACTCAGGGCTGCCCCCATCACTGCACAGCTCCTGAAAGGTGCCTGTGCTCAGCTGGGGCTGGGCTCTGTCTCCAGCAGCACTGACACAACCAGAGCACACAGCCTCAGGCTGTGCCAAGGGAAATACAGGCTGGATAGCAGGGAAAAGTTTTTTACAGAAAGGGTGATAAAGTTCTGGAATGGCTGCCTGGGGAGGTGGTGGAGTCCCCATCCCTGGGTGTGTTTAACAAAGCCTGGATGTGGCACTGGGTGCCAGGGTTTGGTTGAGGGACTGGGGCTGGGTTGGACTCAATGATCTTTAAGTTCTCTTCCAACCTGGCAATTCTGTGAATTCTATGAACTTAGAACTGTGGTTTTGGGTACTGAGCTGTGACTCTGCTGGTGGAGCTGGGGAGGAGGCTTCACCAGTTACAGGCTGGACAATGCTAATAAACTTACAGCTGTTTTGAAAGATGCTGTTGGCTGTGGGGGATTTTGGGGTCAGGGAGAAAGTCATCATGGTGCAACCATGGGAAGAGCATAGAGATGTTCTGGTGTGCTTCACTCCCAGCAGTGAGTAAAGCCCAGGCTTGAACGACCCATCCTCCTCTTCAGTAATCAAACAGCTTTCCTAATTTTGTGATTTTTACAGGTTAATTTATAATTTCCAAGGGTTGTATAATTTACTCCAATTACTCCTTGAAGCTTTTTATAAACCACAGATCTCTCTGACCTGTCACACAGCTGCTCCCTTAAACCATAGCATAGCTAGTTTTTTCCCAACTCATGGCAAGCGTTTGGAAACCAAGCAACCTATTCATGAATATTAAAAGGAACAACAAAACAAACTAATATTCCTGGAACCTGGAGGGTTTGCAAGTGTTGCTTTTCCTGCAGAG